AAAATAAGGAATTTCATAATGATAGAGTCGTCTCGCTATGTTCCGTCAAGGAAGCGATATTAGGGTATTACAAAGTATTATGCGAATATGGATAAAACAAGTACGGGTATTGGAAGAGAAGATGTGGAATGTATGGACTGCTGTTCACCACAAAAAGCATGCGACAAGCCCCTTTATAGTATCATGTAGCAAGATGCCATGGTTAACGCTGTTCATTTAACCACCGCTTTTTATGAGTTTGAACATGTAGTATACTCACCTGTCATGTTTTCACTTGTTTTCCAAAGACACATCAAACGTCATGCCAGACCGCATGTAGCACGCATACTGGCAGTCAAGAGTGTCGTGCGACATATTCTATGAGCCCTTCCATGTCGGTTCAAGCTCGTCGGGAACGGGGTTGGGGCTAGAGCTACATGCCAGTAGCCGTTGTCCCCACGCACCTGGCCAGGTCTGCGACAGCTGTTGCCGAGGTGGACGAGCGATGTGCATGGGCAGCAGGAACGATCGAGGCGACGAGCTTCATATGGCGAAGCTGCCATGAGATTTGTGGCGGTGTCTCCTGTCCCTGAGTCTGGTGCTCTGTCGTTCGCGTGACTTGTCGTCAACTGCCCTCTGGATTGCGCTCAAGGCTCCCGACTTTGCGCTTGGACAATGTGAAGGGCCAATCGCATCCCACACAAGTATGTCTGAGCTGAATCAGAGTTCTCGACATCTCACAACGTCATCGGCAACCTGGTGTTCGGCCAAAACCATGTCTCATGACTTTGGGAGTTGTCGCATCGCGTCACATGCTGTGGCTGTTTCAGAAACCCGTTCCATGCCTCCACACCTCGAATCGTCGTGCGTTCCAGAGTCCAGGCCAAGCAACGTTCCAAGCCTACGGTAGCACAACATGCCGGCGATGGAAACAACATGGTGCGCATATATCGTCGCGAAGATGCCGCGGTCCGCAAAAGCTTGGTGGAGTCTTGCAGTCAGCCAGGCGGCCAAGGACTCGGGAAAGGGCGATGTCGAAGTAGCTGTGGGCCGACAGATCATGGCCCAACATCATTGGCCACTGCTGTGAGTCTGCGCTGATCAGGCCCGTGCAACATGTCTCCATTTTGGACGTGTTGAAAAAGGCTGAACGCTGGTAGCAAGGCGAAATAAAGGGCGGCAGTGCCTCTTTGGTGTTGCGCGTTGGCCGTAGACCACCCCGCCTTCGCCCTAAGAGGAAGGTGCTAGCGACTGTGCAATATCCCGGTCTGTGGTGGTCCATTTGTATAATTGTCTACGACGCAGCCTCGAGTCCAAGTGTTGGTAACACACAGGCAACATGCCTCTTCAGGTCCACCGCATAACCTCGGCAGCCGACTTTGAAACCTTCGTCGCCATACAGATCGCCGCCTTTGCCAACGGCGGTGGTATCACTTCCCTGCTCACGCCTAACCCCATCACCGACGAGTACATCCAAAAGTCTATCGAAAAGCACGTCAAGTCTTGGCGCGACGAGCCTGACGTTGTATATCTCAAAGTCATCGATACCGACGCCCATGGCAAGATGATCGCAGGCGCTAAATGGCGCATCAACGAGCGGGAGCGCAGTGAGGAAGAAGCCAGCAAGATGTATCCAGTGCCAGATGATGAAGCCAAGGGAAGACAGGGCTTGCTAGACTTCATGGTATTCCTGAGTCGAGTAAGAAGGGAGTACATGGGAACGAAGCCCTTTTACTGCTAGTATCCAGCGCGCTACGTCGGAAGGTGTTGCTGACGGACAGCAGTTTTACATATCCTCGTAACGCACCCAGATCACCACCGCCGAGGTGCAGGATCTATGTTACTTGAGTGGGGTACCAAGCAAGCGGACCGCGCGAGACTACCTGCCTTCTTGGAATCGTCCCCGATGGGCAAGCCTTTGTACGGGAGAATGGGATTTCAAGCTAAAGAAGGTAAGTCTTGAGCCTGAAAGCATACATGTGCTACTACTTCTGCGTGTATGGCACACGCTAACTCTATGCTCTCAATGCTACAGTGGTCACGTGGGACTTGTCAAAATATGGCTTGAAGGGGACAGATACCAGTACAGTGATGCTTCGTGAGCCCAGCATACACGCGATATGAGGTGCTATAGATGCGACCTCGTGTGAAAGAGAAGCCGAAGGCTGTTGGAAATGGCGGGTAAGGACACGGCACCTCCAAGACGTGTGCGCCCGCACTATTCTCTCTAGCAGCCTCTCCACGAAAGAGACGTCGCAAATCCACTCCTTCTACATGATATATCTGTTCCCCACGCTGACTTGGACTTTCACGCCTCTTTTGCTCAAAGCCTCGACCCTTCTTGTGAACTCGTTCTGCTCTTCATTCTTTTCCAACGCCAGAACCTTCGCGGTTTCCTCCAAAACAACTTCGGTCAACTGGTCCATCTTATCTAGCGCAGCCAGGAAGCGCTCACTCCTATCTCCGCTTTGTTTGCTTTTCGGAGCAATGCAGGGCTGCACAAGAACAAAAGCCTTGATCTCGGAGATGGCTGGTCCCGCACACCAAAAGAAGAGATCCGCAGTCTGCAGGCCAAGGAACTTGAGGGAGAAATTGGCGCAAATGTAGGAGAGACATTCGACCCGTATCTGGCGACAGACGCGGAAGGCAGAAAGATGCAGCACAGATGCGGCGAGATGCTCCGGCTTAGTGCAATTTGCGATCACGAGCGAAGAAAGCTCTGGGTAGATGGCCATGGCGTAGATCATATTTCGTATCTCGCCTGGTAACTCGAGAAATGCACCGTGTGTCTTTTGTGACTGCATTGGATTAGCTGGCTAGATTGACTCAGTAACGACGCGTTGGGTGTATGTTATGTACGTGTGACGCTAACCCACTGACGCGGAGCTGTTTGTGGCGCAACCATTTGGTCCTCATTGTCTTCATCATGTGCCGGAGAGAGACGTTCCTGGTGGCAGGACAGGGACAAGGGATTGATACAGCTTTCGCAATGATGGGGACTGCGGGCAGCTGCCGCCTTACCGCATTAGGATAGTCCACCTTGATGATCGCAGCGCGCCTGGGTAGCTCTCTTGTTAAGGCGTGACAAGCAATTGCGGAGTTCTCGGAGGTGCCAAGACAACGTCACAAGTTTGAGACAGCGACTTGGCACTCTCGCTCCTCAACCAAGCTCGCCACGATGCTCTCGCGCGCGTGTACACGCTCAAGCGCTTTCCTGGGAGCTCGCGCTACACCATGTCCTTCTGCTCGCCCCCCACCAGTGCTGCTCCGACGCGGAAAACGCACCAAAGCCAGCTATCCCGATGGGTCGGAGCACGATGCAACGACGAAATCCAAGCCCTCGCTCCTAGGCCGGCTCAGAGGCTCACGCTCCATCTTCGAGGATGACGCGAAAATGGACCAGGCAATGCGTCCGCTGTCCGATGCCGAACTCGAACGCGACGATCTGCCCGTCATCAACTGGTACGAGCAGGACTTGGACAAAGGCACGCCGCAGCGCCTGATTGAGCGCATAGCCACGCCCGAAGACCGCAAGAAGGACAGAGACATGTACCTGATGATAGAAGAGTCTCGGAAGAACCCCGACCATGACGACGCAACTTTGAACCGGCGGCTCATCGACAGCCTCCTGACAAATCCAAACTTCGCCGAACTGACGGATGAGCTCCAGCTCATCAAAAAAGGCATCAAGTCGAGGGAGGAGCTCCAGCAACTGAAACAACAGGGCGCTGCCAAGGCAGAGGCAGAGAGCAAGCAGTTCAACGCCGGCTTACGGATGGCGACACTTGAAATACTACAAGACGTCCTCGAGGACCCGGACATCGGAGACGCAAAGGCCGACCTGCAAGCGTGCATCGACCACATGCCTGAGGTGGAAAACATAGACAATCCCGTGTTCCAGGCTATGCTGAACAAGGCAATGCACAAGCTTGAGGGCAACGAAGCTATGCAGAACAAGGTCGCCGCTATGCGTAAACGCCCCGACTCCGAATTGGAGCGCGAGTGGCAGACTTATCAGAGAGAGACCGAAGACGCCATTGCTCAAGCAGAGACTCCAGACGAGGACCTGACTATGGCGACACCCGAAGACATGCAGGACGTGGACAAGCTCCTGCACCAGATGCGGGATGTCATGAAGTCGTTGGGTGGCGACACCGGGCTTGAAGCCGAACTCGACGCAGCGATCAGCGAAGACTCCACATCGGGTCAAGATGAAGAGGGTGTGTTCGAGCGTGAAATGGACCCCCAAGAATTGGCCGAAGAGCTGAAGAAGCTCGCCCAGTCCAAAGCATCGCAGCCCGGAGAGCTTGTGGAGGACGAAGAAGATGTTCCCGCTGAGCTCCAGGCCAAGGTTGACGAGATCATGAAAGACCCGAAGCTGATGGAGAAGCTAATGTACATACAAAAGCTCATTTCCGAGAACAAGCAACAGCAAGGCGATCTGACTTCCATCGCCCACGAAACTGCGCCTGACCCCTACCAACTCGCGGACAGCCGCACTGCGCCGCTCAGCGAGCGTATGGCTGCTGCCCTCCAAGACCCAGAGCACGTTGCCGCTCTCCAACGCCTCCGCGTCGACCTTCCCCCACCGTTCAACATTGCGCCCGCCCTGAAATCGTTCAATAAAGCCATTGAGCTTGCCTATATCGGCGCAAACGATGACATCCGCCGAATACTCTGGCGCTCGTACCAGAAAGCGCGATCCTTGCCCACGTTCCTACAAAACATTGGTGACGAGGCGTGGGACATACTGTACTACTCGCAAGCGGTCACCTGGGGAAGTAACCAGAACCGAGAGAATCATCTCAGGATGCTGCTGGCCGACCTTGAGAGCATAGGGAGAGATGGGCCACCTACCCATCCCAGTACGCTCGCTGATGGAGGTGTTGAGCAACTAAACACATGACCGGCCTGAAGACCAGGTGTAACTGTACGATATGACGATTTATATATGATACCCCACCCAATATATTCGCAATGGAATAGCCCTTTGCAAAGGTTGCGCTGTCTTTACAACGCCCTCATCCGCATGCGTTTGCTCCGCCATCTACCTTTGGTCTCTGATACCAGCTCTCATGCAGATAATCTTTCTTTGGTCCGTCCACCTTGTATCTGATCATGAACCGATCGATCTTTGCACCACAAAACTTGAATTCGCAGTCATTCTGATACGTGTCGGGATCGCACCAATGGCAGCCCGTAGCCATCCAGCCGCCAGCCTGGTCATCAGGCGCGTGGAAGCGCCAGGTATTGAATAGCTTTCCGACGCTTTTTTCGTCGTCTTCAACAAACCATGCGGTGATCTCATCGCTTGTTTCGTTGTACCGATAGACGTAACGACGGGTCGCAGGGAATGACAGCCCAGCGTCCATGGTGAATGTCCCTTGTTCGATATACAAGTATTCGGAGGCGTAGGTCGCTGCATCGGTAGATTGACGCGGATGGAAGTGAGCTGTACCCACGAATGTGCCACCGGGTGTCTGGGTGCGTGAATCAATTTTGCGCGTCATCTTCCAGACACCTTGCATGCCTGCGAACACGGCCGCTGCAACAAACCGAGCATGCTCCTGGGATGCCTCGAGTATTCCGGCAACTTCGCTGACTACTGCCTTGGCTTGCAGACTGCTATCTCTGTGTCGATAGCGCGATGGGAATGCGGGACCCGATTGGCTACCGAATAGGGTGTCGTCACGTGAGACGCCCGTTTCTCGTGCGAACTCTTCCATTAGTCCAACGTAGTCGGCCATCCAGAACTGCGGCACTTGCAAGGACCTCTGACCCATGGCATTTTGCATATGCCTCGTATCATCATACGTGTACAAGGCGGATGAGAGAGACGCCGACTGCTCAGGCTCTCGTTTGGCCCAGCGTTGTGCCAGAAGTCGAGCCTGCATTTCCATCACGCCCCAGTAAGGGCCTTCGTAGAAACCCACGAACCCAATTGTAGGTATTTGCTGCGAAAAGACGGAACCACGTGACAGGAGATATGGTATGCGCGGATTCGGGTTGTCGCTGCCGTCAGCGAGAAGGGATTGGACACGGGCGTCGAGCCAATCGAGGTCGGCTTTGTAGCCTGTGGCTTCAATGATACCGACCACATCACTCAGTCTGCTCTCGCCCTGTAAAGTGTCAGCCTTTTCGATGCGCCTAGGCTCTCGAGTAAGCGGAGTACCATAGCTTTTGCGCCTGGCCCATGGAACCAGGGCTCATATTGGCCAAGACTAATCTCTAGGCAATCACCGTTGGCTGCCTGCTCGACGTGTTCAACCCATCCCCGGACTGGCACAATAATGCCACTTCTGACAAACTCCATATACGTGTCGGTTATACCGGTGTAGCCAGGGTGTTGTGTCTGGCTCTCCGTGTACGCGAGCTCTGAGAAGCCGACGTCGGCGTGATGGCAGCCTATACTTGATCGTAAGAAGTCGTGGCCTTTCTTTGCTTTTTCTGGTGGAACGGTGCTGATAGCTGCAGAGATGTCTCCATGGCCGCGACGGGACAGATTGTAGAGAATCAGATCAAGGGGAAGGAATCTAGGTGCTGGCTTGAAATGCCCGTCGTGGGTCTGAGGGTCCTGTGGAAGGTAGCGGGGCAGGCAGTAGAAGGGACGATTGATGACGTGGAAAACCCTGCTGTCGGCGTGGGAGGGTGTCATTCCACCAGGCGAGTGCTTTGCGTTGGAGATCTGAGAAGCAGCCTGAGAAGCAGCCTCTGAGCCGCTGATGCCGCCTCCAATCACGACTATCTTGCCGGGGGTTTCCGTCAGGGCAGAGAGAGTCCGAAATCGTGAGGAGTGTTGGATGTTTGAGAGAGGGTGGGAGGGAACGGGATTGAAGGTGTGGGCTGGCTTGTTAAAGAAGCCGCTGGCGACGACGAGTCGATCAAAGGTACGGCATGTTAGCTGACGGGTGCCGTCGGCACTGACCACTCTCCAAGTATGATCTTCTTGCAGTGATGCGCTGACAACTCGGTGCTCGAGGAGTATGTCGTCAGTTAAGCCAAGGGTTTCTGAATACGCCGCAAGATAGCGGCCCACGTGCCTAAAGATGCATGTACGAAGTCAGTAACTGTCTCACAGCATGCTGTGCACAGATTCTACCTGCCACGCTTTGGGAAAGACAGGCGGAACAGCTAGTGGATCGGCAGCAGGGTTCGAGATATCTACATGTACCGATGTCCAAGCCAGATCAGAAAAGGCAACAGTGTATCTGCTCAGGTTGGTGCGCATCTCCGGACTGCACTTGTCGCCAAATTCCCCGCGGTCATGTCTCCACATGCCGCCTACACGGTCTGCGGCCTCGTAGACGGTGACTGCGAAGCCGTGCTGTCTGCAGATGTGTGCAGCCGCCAGACCTGCGGGCCCAGCGCCGACGACGCAGACGGCCTGTTGCTCGACCGGGGCATCCATGGCCAGGACGGGGTTGGGAATTCGGGGCAGCAGTGTCTGAACAGAGGCTATTCGGCGAGTAGGCCAGCGTTGATGAGGGTGGCCTTGATGGTCTGGAACTGTGTCTTTCCATGCTGGGCAGGCGTTAGCAAAGGGCCAGGGCACGCTGCGGGGGTTCTGGGGCGGCGGACTGAAATCAGATATCGGATGTGGCCCAGGTCAGTGACGGAGCGGTGTTGGTCGAACTCGGAGCGTGCAAAGCGGCGCATGTCTCGTCGTGCGCCTGCGTCGGGGATGCTGGCGGTGCTGCGGACAATGTCTCGCCACAGGGCCAGGGCGCGCTGGCGCTGGATGAACTGCAGGACCGTCAGCGGGCGTGGCGCCGGGCCGGATGCGTCGTGGGACAGGTACGTGGTCCAGGCCCACGGGAGCTTTTCCTCGTGCGCGCAGGCGGGAGGGCGGCTTGGAGGCGACGGTCGCGTAGGCGCGCAGCATGGCGGTGCGATGTGTCGAGGGCGCGTCCCAGTGCCCAAGGTTGGCGGTGGGCGGTTGGCGGTGGGCGGTTGGTGGTGGGCGGCTGGCTGGCGGCGGAATCGTCACCTCACCACACCACCATGCACTCGCCCCAGGCCCTCGCGCGCATGCAGACGGTGCAGACGCTGCTGCGCCAGGACGCCGCCCTCAGTGCCTACGAGGCGCCCCAGCGACCCTGCCCCGTCGCCATCCACTGGGTCCCCTCCGCTCTCGACCTCCGCCCGGGCGAGCTCGACGCCTGTCTCGGCCTCGTCCACGCCACGTCGGGCCACGACTACGCGGCTTCGGCCATGGGCTGGGACCCGCGCAGGAAGCGCGACGAGATGCTCGACGCCGACATGATGTATCTGCTGCTGCGCCCGGCTCAGGGCGGCCCCGACGCCATCCTCGGCTTCACCTCCTTCATGTTCACCCACGACGACCCCCCGCACCACGACCGCCCTGTCCTCTACATCTACGAGATCCATCTCCACGAGCGCCTGCGAGGACAGGGCCTCGGGTCCCGCCTCGTCCAGTTCGTCGAGAGCGTGGCGCGCGCATGTCACATCCCCAAGACGATGCTGACCGTCTTCACCGCAAACACGCGCGCAAAGAGCATGTACCACAGCCTGGGCTACACCAGGGACGAGTGCAGCCCCGACGACAGGACCACGAGGAACAGGGTCATCCCCGCCGAATACGCCATCATGAGCAAGTCGATGGACTGAACACCATACATTGCTAGTCTTCATCAGCCCATCCTCACTCTACGGGAACAAACACCCTGTCAATGTCCGGCCCCCAGCCCTCATCCACCCCGCCAACCTTGACTTCGTTGACGCCCTGCTCCACGTTGACGTGCACCACTGAACTTGCCGGGCCTCCTCCCCCGTCTGGCAAGAACGCCGCCCTCTGCGATTTCCCATTCACACTGATGGCTGCATACCTTTGCTGCTTGTCGCCGTTGAGATGCTTGATCCTCACAGTCGTGCGCGTCGTTGCTGAAGATTCCACCTTGGAAAACGTGGCGGACCCCGAGGGCACGCCGCCAATGTACCCAATTGCCTTCGAGCCCGAGCACGAGGAGCATGCTTGAGATGTAGCTCCGTTAGCAAGCTCTGCCGTCTCGCCTTCGTACATGTTCTCTTTGGGCCCGGCCCTGCTGGCTCCAGTACCGGGGTCCAGGATCCAGTTGACAGCGTTCTTCATGCTAGCCGTCGTTCCAGATATCTCAACCGGTAACCATACGTATGTGCTTCTCATCAGATTCTCACTGTGCCATCGGTCCCCCATGTACACGTACCCATCCCCCACAGACAGTACAAAGCTTGTTTGAGAAGCGTACGTGTTGGACCCAGAGTCGGCGAACTTTTGCCACGACGACCATGGACCCGAGAGAGACGTCGACGTGCTGTAGTAGTTGTCATTCGGGCTCCACCCCGTAAGCTGCGAGGCGAACATGAAGTAAACGCCTTTGTGTTTGATCATGGCCGGAGACTCGTATTTTTCTTTCCAGACGTAGACATTGCTGGAAACGCTGAGATAATCATCAGACAGTGCGTTGATGCGTAGGCCGTTGCGGCGCTGGCTTCGTCAGAAACAGATCCCTACTGTGCTACGAGGCAGTCATACGTCTTCGGTCAGTAGATAGCCCTTGCCGTCGTCATCGACAAACACGCCAGAATCTCTACTCTCGAAGCCCAGTGGTCGCTCGCTGCGTAGATACGAGTACTTTCCGCAAACGCTGTCGCCTATTGCGACCCCAATCTTCGCCTCACCATAGTCGGCGCTGTCAATGTGAGCCCACAGGACATACTTACCCGTTCGCTTGTTGTGCATAACTTTTGGTCTCTCAATAACACGATCGGGCCCTGTGTCGCCAGATGCAGTCCGCGAGATTAGAGCGCCTTCATAAGACCATTCGACAAGGTTGGTAGACGAATAGCAGTTGATGTTTGTGAAAGCGGTTCCGTTTGTTTTATCTTCGCCAATCCTGCGGGCGCATCAGCACCGGTAGAGGCCGCCCTTGCGCGTAGAGTTATTTACCAATACCACTTTTCGCCATCTTTGATGATGCCGGCGCCGTGAGCCTGAATGTGCTGGCCTGTGTTGGTCTGGTGTAATGTCAGTTGCCATTTGCTCATGGGTACGACGAAACGCACTGCTGTCCAAGTCGCGCCAGGTACAATCTGGAGCGTCGCATTTACGATCAAGCCGGACAGGCCAAAGCCTACGAGTCTGAGAAGTCGCATGGCGGTATTGTAAGATCAAGTCTCAGATGCCAGCCAGAGCAATTGTCTATGCAGAGTGCCTGGAATTTATAGGCGCATCAGCAGATCCTCCCGCAAGTTCCTGACAATCTGCCAACTGGGTCGACCGCGAAAGGCTCGTCGCTCATTGACGGAAAAGGGGCACTGCGCTACATAGTGTCACGAGCAGACATGACTGTTTCAATAATTCTGGTGGCGTATGACTACCGGGACAAGGGTAATAGACGAGTTGTGGGGAAGCTTTAGTCCCGGAAGCTATGCTTGATCGAACGTTACCCGTGTACTGCACGTACTATACTGTAAACTCTGCACACGACGCTGCCTAGGTATGCATCGCCTGGATTGGCAATCACCCGATGTCCGTGGCTCTTTCAACATGGATACACACTGGCCTCGGTAGCAATGGAACAGGCCGCCCTCCGAAGCGCAGATACTACTGGAAGGGGAAAGCATGCCGCATCCAGTCGGCACAATACTGCGACCGAACCTTGGAAGCAATGGGACATATGGGCTAACGAGTGTATGCTCAACGTATAACTTGGAATGACTGGCAACAGTACCGAGGTAGTTTGCACCGGTCGAAAAAGGCACGTTGCTAGTTCTGGATTGGACAAGATGTTTGCTGCACTCGTACCAACGTTGCACCTGCGCAGGCAGCGTACGCAGCGCACCCACGACAGCGTCTTCGGGCTTGCTCATGCTTCTCGCCCGCAGTTTGACCCGCTGCTTCCTTTTGCGAAAGCTTGCCAGCGCCACGACCACAGCCTTCTGGGCGCGATTCCACGTATATCAGATACGGCCCAGCAACCTCAGCAATGATGTAGCGTTGTGTTAAGTTTACTGATCATGCATCTTCAGGGAACCTAGGGACCTGGATACTCTACAAGACATCAGAGATTGAACGTCAACAGACGACCATCGTTCACGTCCCTGATTTGAGCCATTCGCAAGTACCTTTGATGATCGGATAATTGCGAAGGGCCAACGACTTCGACATATTCCATACATTTGGACTGTCTCAGTACAATGCATTCCAGAATGTCCAGCACGTTGCGCTCTCATGTAAGATAACGGCACATCGTCTAAATAGGAGATTGTGTGTTTTCAAATCAGACGCCTCAGTTTCACATTCGAGCAAACCCGTGTAAGAATACCGTAAAGACTTTGTATCAAATTGTTGAGCAGCAAGCAATATTCCACAGGCGCCAGGGAGCTTCCGAGCTAGCGTTTCCCGGTAGATCCATCCTGCTACTTTTGTCACAACCTTTGGTTACGTTATTGCACAATATCCTTGGCCACTCCGACATAGCCAGATCCATTCTCGATCCACGTATTCTTCCAGATCTGCACCAGCTCTTGCGAAAGTCTTGCCATGTCGAGGTTCCTCTCACTTGAACTCGCTAGTACCTTCCAGCCTTGCTCGTGTTCTGCGCTCACATCATCGATCATGTATGTGTACTTGTCGAAATTGTCGGAGCCCGCAATGAGCATGTCATTCACACCATTGGCGAACCCGAATGTAGCGAGAACTTGGTTGTAGCTGACCCAAGCGGCGTCTGTCATGGGAATGCTGACCTTGTAAACGATATTGGGAAGGATGCCATCGCGTTCGACAACAGTGTGTAACGAGTCGGCCATGTAACCGTCGATGAAACAATACAGTTTTTCCCGGTCATCCTCACAAAAATGGACCCCTGCTCTGCGAATCATGCGGAGGGGGGCAATGAGAACAAGACGTTCCCTTGCCTTGGAAGCAGTCAGTCGCGCAACTCAAGCAAGAAAAGGACTTTGAAGCTTACATCAGGACCAGGTGTAACCGTACGGCACAGTGAATCGGATTCAGGTCTGGGCTTCATCTCGTATGCAGGCGTCGCAAGAGGCGTCGAAGTGTAGAGTGGCGTTATGCTGTGAAGAGGCGAAGGCGAAGACAGCCCCGCAAAAGAGGCATGCGAATTTGATCTACCAGGAGGCGTGTCTCTGCCACCTACGGTATGGCCAGGGATGTGATAGTCGAAGGGTGACCGGTATGATCCCTTCTCCCATCCATGCTTTGGCGCACCGGGCGGGATCAAGGCAGCCCGCCGAATCGAGTTGGCGACTTCAGATGCAACCGAACCTACAGCGGTTGTATGTTCTGGACGAAGAGAAAGGGAGGGCCTCCGCGTGTGTACGAGGTTGCGCGCGTCGGCCAGCCGGTTGCCAAAGCCGACGTCTGCAAAACGCGTATAGTTGCGGTTCTCCACCAGTCGCGGAATTGTCGGTGAGGACGCTGATGGGGAAGTAGAATTTATGCGAGGGGGGACCGACATGCTTTCCTAGTTGCTGATGGCGGAGAGTGATTGCAACGCGTGTTTCGACTTCAATTTGATGGTAAAGAGCTGGAGCAGAAGCGAAAGGGGAAGCGAACACACTAGAAACACGCTCTCAACTCGCTAAGAGGAAGCAGCCAAGCCTGTGACTGTTTGTGGTGACAAACACAAAGCTCCAGTGAAGGTGTAGCGCCATTCATTGAACCTTCAATATGTGTTCTGCTTTGGGAGAGGCGACATGATCGATCTAGTTGCACGAGAAAATATCGATAGATTTCGTTGTCACTACAATTTGTTAATGATATTCAGATTGTGGTCCGTGTTGTTTACCTAGGTAGTCACTAGCACTAGCGAAGAGGACTCGACACCCGTGCTGCTATATCCAGTATAGTCTGTAGAAGCCAACTAACATAGTCCCAGTGTGAAATTTGGTATTCAGCCACCGAATGCGAAAGCTTCCCTTCGCCTTTAGAAGAGAGAACTCAGATTCGATCGCAACTTGATGTCTATACTGCTTCCTAGACCATGCACTGGCGTCATATCAAATGGCGGGCACCATGGCAAAAGCGCCATCTGTCGGTACTAGAGACTTTCAGGGCCGAAGAAGCAGCGAAGGAAAGCGCTGTTGTTGTTCGCAGAATTCGGAACGGGAATATTGAGGTATGTCCTGAGTGTTTTGATAGAGTCTAGAACATTTGTTTCTCTAACGCTAGCCAGTATGTCACTTGCGGCCGTCTTGAAGACCAAGCAAGCATTTGGAATCGTTGCAAACGCTCACTACGCTACCTCCAGAACAGGCCGCGGCGGGATTCATCTCAACAGTACTTTGAGCATGACTCTAGTTCAGTGAAGAGCGGTGGAGAGACTGTGACAGTGACCGTAAGAGAAGACGCGCACAACGAGGAAACACAAGAGTCTGGCAGTGAGCCCTGGGAGGGCGACTATACTAGCCTTCTAGCCGAGTATGGTATACGATAGTTGCTCCATAGTTTCCTGATGGCTCCTCCGCCTTTATTGCGTCTTATATCATACCCAGGTAGTCATGTACACCACCACATTCTGTACTAGATAGACACTGCAAAATTCATGTAGCTACCAAGAGCACGCTTTGTCACTATGCTATTTGGATAATGTCTCTGCCGGTGTTGTCAGATAGGAAAAGCGATATGATAACGCGGCGAATCCCATCTGGGTACCCCCAAAACAGCGACGAAGACAAGATCAACTACACCAGCATAAGTAGCTAGGAAATGGGAAACAATTTCGCATTCGAGTATAGATCTTCCAGTACTCCAATCACGTACGACCCTAATCTGATAGTATCAATGCTTGACCGTAATGAAATTGAATCCGGGCCTGTCTCGTTTTAGCAGCCGTACCGCTCATAGATGACGTATACTTTCCCTGGCCAAGACATTTCCCACCTCTGGATGTGGCCTCTGAAGTAAAGCTCTCATCTATCCCGCTCCTTGAACCGTCGACTCAGCTCGTAGAGCCTTTACAGCCGTCTTTAGCCACTCTCTCGCTCAACTCGCGCGTCCTGCCTACGAGATGGACTCGCGGCTACCACACCCTCGCCAAATTCAAGCACAGCTCCAGGCACTCGGCGACGAAATCCAGAGCATCCGCGAAGAACACGATGGCCACATTGTCGGGCTAAGCCAGCGTCTGCAACAAGCTGAGAACCGCCAGCGACAACTCCTACATCAGCTCCAAATTGCTACGAACCGCTTTCCTGGACCGCCTGGCAGTAGTCACAGTGGTTACTCGAGTTCGACTGCCAACCTAGATAATCCTCTCCCTCTCTCGGAGTCTCTTATCGGTACTGGTCGCATCACAACACCTCCACGAGCACATACCGGTGGCGCCACGAGTAACGACAGGTATGATCGTACCCGCTTCTTATCATCAGGGGAGGCTTCTTCTAGACACAACAGCTATTCTAGTCGCCCATCCCCTGTTCAATCGGTGGATGCGAATGCTACACCACGCGCACAAAACGCTGCTCCCCAACTGAACCCAGTCCGCCCTCAGCAGCCAGTCATTGGTAGTAAAGACAACGCAGCTTATCTTCCTATGGTCATGGAGAATATCATGTCCGAGCACCGCCGCCACAAACGTGAGGGCACCTTGAGATCTTGGTGAGATGCTCTCTGAGCGAGCGCTCATGAATGAGTGATAGTGGCTAATGCATATCAGTGGATTCGTTTTTCCAGAAGGGCGGACCAACGATGTCAAATGCTCTCAAGACTCTTTCCATATACCCTGCTTTCGTGCCAACCACTTCTACTATTGCCGACAACACATGCGTGTCATCCCTGGTGGGAAGACGGTTTGTAGCCATAGGAACAAGCAGGACTGCTTGGTGGTGATATTTGGTACGTGTTCCAAACGTGGCTCTTGTGCTCATACGTCAAGACTGTTAGTAATCATCCACAGAAGATCACGATGACTGGGACCTGATCGTGGATGCTGCACTCGCGGCAGGCAACCTTGGCAACAAAGGAGTGGATGTCGAGGATCTGAAAGAGGCTCTCTTCCCTCCTCAGAACTACTCTGATCGATACATGAGCGCCCCTGGCTGATTTGGAAGAAGATAAAGTACCCGGTGGTATGAGAAGGGTTTTAGGGCGAGGAAGGGCAGAGAAACAGTTGCAGCGGTGGATCAGCTCTTCGCGTAATCCCCCTTATGACCCTATCTGAGCAACTACATCGAGCGTAGTTTTGCATACAGCCTGAATACGCACCTAGAGACAAACATTGAGCGTAGCGAGTGTCTTTCGCGGCACAGCCTCGGTGTCTTGGAGATGTTCATGTCTAAGGCAAGGTTCGGCGTTGTGTGTCGTTGGCGATATTTCAGTTGCGCCTCCGGGGCTATTGATCCCACGTAAATCATGGATACCGAGTATGGCGACGTTGGGAAGGTTTGCTGAGCCATGCTTGGTGTCGTTAAGATTGTAGGTTGCCACGCACGCTGTGGTCCATGTTTCGTTTTTTGGCAACGCCAACACGCAAGAAGAATACCTACGCACGGCTGCGCGACGCAACCAGCGTAGGTGTTATCGTTCAACGGTCGGACAAAGCGCGCTCACATTTGGACGAAGTCGCCCATGCCCAGCTGAGTTAGACGAGAAGCGCGCGTCTTTGACACGCGCTCATGACGCTTGGGCCTTGTCGCGTGATTTGTCATCCCTCAACAAAATATCAAAGGGGGCCGGGGTGCACAGAAGAATTTGCTCTACATTGCAAGCTGCATGCAGACGCGCCTTGGATTCTTCTGCCAAGCGAACGACTATCGCTTCAGTACGCGACAAACCATGTGTATTAGACCACGCTCTCATGTCCCCCGTTCTCCCGACCTCGGGAACTGGAGGTCATCTTTTCCGCTGCAGCTCCCTCCCTCCACTACACTCCCTCAACCGAAGGTCGAGTTCAGTGGCCCGAACTTGATGTTGCTGTAGACAACAGTGGCATCAGCATGTTGGCTCTCAATGTCTGCCGGCACACCGCTCGTCGTCTCGCATTCTCCCCTGCCGGTACCTAGATCCGTGTCTGGATTCTTGTCTGTGGGATACGTAGAGTCAAGCCAAAGCATGTTGCTGTAATGGTCATCCCACAGGCTCATGACGAGGACCATGCCGTTTGCGAGAGCCTTTGCCATGTTCGCCATACCGCCCTTGTCTTTGAACGTGTATGTATCGTGGAACGCAGCTTTCTGTTCGTCGCAAAACTTAGTTGTGATGGAGTTCCCGTCTACGCCAGGAATAGTAGATGCAGGCTGCGCAATAGTCTTGCCGTTCTGGACATAGAAACGCTTGATCTCCATAGCGTCCCCGGTACCGACAAATTGTGTGACCACGGTGAACTTCTTTGAAGTGTCTACCGTCTTGCCCTTGCCATAGAAGTCTTTGACACCCATGCGGTAGCTGTTGAAGTCACAGCCGTCAGGATCGCAAACCCCGGCATAACGGTCGGCCGAATAGGTACCTCCGCAACCGTCGCCGTCACAACGAGACTGCTCGATTGTGGAGCACGAGTGTGGGGTGACGGCTGTGCTGACAGCGTTCGCTTCCCAGATGTCCATCTCTGCGCAGCACGAACCATGGCCCCCAACCCCTGCATTCGCATCGTTGGAGGATGGCTGCCAACCTTCGACGTTTCCCTGCAGCATTCTGAGTAGCTGAAACCCAATCCTTGGAAACGAGCGTGACTTACCTCGCCGTTGATGAACTTCAAGTCTCGTGGGCACTGGGCGTCGCAATACCCTGTGCCGTATTTGGCGCCAGCCTTGTTCGTCGAGAATTTCTTCAATCCGCCATCTGCATCCATTGAAACAAAGTACAAAGCGCCATTGAATCCGCATGGCAGGTTCGACACGTCCACATCGAACGTGAACTCTTGGTTGCCGGTAAACTTAAACATCTGTTCAAATCCACGGATCAGTTGAGACACTGTTTGTACCTACGAGAACGTTACTTACCTCGTAAGTCGTATCATCCTTCATGAGATACGTCCGAGAACCGATGTTTGTGGAGTAGGAACCCTTCGTGATGAACTTCAACTTCAGGGAGTTACTGCCCGCGGTGATGCCGTATGTGCCACTGTAGTCTGCGCCGTCAACGGCACAGTTGGCCGCACATGCCTTATTGTCTGGGCAGGCAGTTGCGTTCCACTCGTTACCTGTATAACAGTTGTCATAGCTGGTCTTGTGTTAGCAGCTGAGTCAACCCAACAGACTGTGCCTATGCCATTACCCTCCTTTGACATGAAGCCATCGCCAATTGGCGTCGATAACAATTTTACCGTTCTTGGTTGTGCAGCTACCCTTGGCGGTGCAAGACTGCCATGTCATTCCTGGATGGGTTTCGGTTTGCTGAGTACCAACAAGCTGTGCGTGAACGACGTGGTAAAACCACGCGGCAATGACGAAGTAGTGATACATGCCCAGATGGTGAGCAGTGCAGGCTTTGGGGTTTCAGTAATATCGTGGGCAAAGACTGACAAAGGGTTGAATCAAGATCATGGCAAGTGCATCGGCAGGCGTCTCTTATGTCCCTTTTCGCGGAGCCTTCTAATTACCCTTGGGCGTATGTACTCTATGTTCCATCTTTCAATCAATGTGTCAATAAATGCTAAACCACGCTTCGACTGCTGCAATTGGTGTTCAAAGCCTTTTCTCGCATACCGATAATGCGCGGCCCCTACATGCCATGTCGAGATTCATCTCACAGGAGGCTAGAACATGTCCGACCACAGACGCGGACAGCGTATGAGATGAATTGACTGCTTAGTGCGACGTGGACACCCGTAGGTCTATAGGGCAATCTCCACGCAATGTAGGAATAATTAGACATCGTCATCGGAGTCAGAGGGTCACTCGGACAGGCGATGTGATGCAACAGCCCTCTTGTTCGGCTGTCTACCTGGCTAAGCATACCAAGCATCTTCAAGCTCACTGCCATGAGCTGGGCGCTGAGCACTATTAACTGGGTATTTCAATTCAACGTCAAGAGCAGCTCCTGCACAGATGCATGCGCCTCGGCGCCTCAGACCCGGACCCGTAACACCCTGTAAAACTACGACCAGAATGCGTCTTAGGTCTTCGATGGGTCATGCTGTCACTGCACAGCGGAGAGTTCAAATGCCGAAGAAGACATGAAGGCAAGCCAAGCTGATCATCAATAATATGAAAGACAAGTACCGAAGAGGGGTAGATTGACGATACTATTGATACCACGAGACTGGTAATGAGACATGACCAGCATTCCCCGCATTGGCACAAAGAGGACCCTACCTAGGTATGCACGGGACCCGATGAGTGCGTCGAAATGCCGGCGGTTCCATTTATTAATCGTCAGCACTGGTGACGCTACACTATCGGCAGGATGAGTGAATGCTACCTAGCTGGAGGTACCTAGGTATGGCGGCCTGAGCGTACCTGGGGACGCAATGGTTAACTGGGTCTGTTGCATCTCCGTCTTATATCCGAGTCTGTGCGCTCCAACCTATTGCCTCATCTCCACCTGATCTCCGCCTTGTCCGACCTCCAGCTGTTTCGCCATTGTCAACGCGCATCGCAGTCCCTAGTTGCCATCCGTCATATGCCATGTCCGCTCCCGGCGCCGAGTGGATTAGCGACAGGTCTCGCGAGGAATCCCCAGAAGGTCACGATGGCTTGTCGCAGCGACGCACGAGCAAGAAGCGCAAAGTGTTGTCGTGCTACGCTTGTCGCAACCGCAAGATGAAGTGTGATCGCGTCTTCCCAGTATGTGGCCGATGTCAGAAAAACGACAGAGGTCACGAGTGTACATATGACCCCCGGCTACTTCAAGAGTCCCACCGTGACAGGGGCGCTGCGTCTCTTGCGCTTACAGAGCTGCCAGTCGAGAGCGAGCCCTCCTCGGACGCATCGAATGCATTACAACGAAAACTCAAAACACAAGAGAGACGAATTGCCATTCTGGAACAGAAACTCATCAATCGAAATGGCGGTGGTAATCCCCCGCAATATGGGGAGTTTGTGCCCCATGAACCCAAGATCACAGAGGAAATCATGTTCAGAGGAAAGGGTTTCAGATCCCAGTTCAACGGCGCAACGAGTATCATGAGCATGATCTCCACGGTACAGTCCCAAGCCTGACGTCAACGTGATAGAAACTGACCACCACTAAGTATCACGAGCTACAAGCTTTTACGCGAGAGGCTTTGACCGTCGATCACTCCATCATGCGTGTCAAAACCGACTTCAAAGCCTTTCGCGATCAGAGGAAGAAGTCTGCGAAGAGGCAGGCCACTAGATGCTCTGACATCGACTCTGAAATACTCGCTATCCTTCCGGAAAAGAGCATAGTTGATACGCAGGCGGCTCTCTACTTCCAAACGTGGGAAACAAGTTATAGAATCCTGCACGGGCCGTCGTTCTGGGAGGATTATCGAAGTTACTGGGAATCAGATCGGGACGGAAAGGGACCGGTGAGTTTCGCCGTCTTGCTCGTCTTGCTCGTCGCAGCCACGAAGTGCCTTAACCCGAAAGATGATGTGTTTGTTGGTGACACGACTGCCGACAGGCAAGCGGCTCACGAGCTTATTAATTTATGCGACAGCTGGATCGCTGATCAGCCGCGCAAGCGGGTTACTTTAGCTTTGTTCCAGCTACAGTGCCTGTCGTTACTCGCGAAGCGTGTCAATTGCGTGCGCCTGAAGCAAGACTGGGTCGCATCGGGTGACCTACTGCGACTCTCCCTTGCATCTGGTCTACATCGTGATCCCTCTCTGCTCGGACATGGTACGATGACAGCTTTTGATGAGCAAATGAGGAAGCGTCTGTGGATTACCGTCATGGAGCTGGAGCTCCAGTCGTCCGTTGAGAGTGGCATTCAATCTTCGCTCTCCGGACTATACTGGGACTCGCCTATCCCTGATAATCTTGGCGATGAATCCTTTTCGCCAGATATGCAGCACATGCCGGCGGTACGTAGAAACGAACCTCGGAAGAAAGCGTTCCCTGTGAGACTGACACCGTGCAGTCCGACGAGAACTTCACATCAGCTTCGTACCTCATCGCAACTACAAAGTCACTTCCACT